CACACCCCTAATGTAGCCAATCCTCCAAGAGTGTACAGAGCTCTTCTTACATGGGCTACTGTAAGCTCTTGGAGGATTGGCTATATTAGGGGTGTGTCACCTAATATGCAAAGGAGTTCCTGCTACAAAAAGAGCACTGCGTTCTTGTTTCGCTGCCCTCTTCTTCGTCCAAATCCTTACAAAGAGGATATTCTTCCATATGTCTCTAAATGGTTGTAAATGCTAAGAACATAAGAAGAGCCCTGCTGGATCAGACCAGTGGTCCATCTAGTCCAGCATCCTGTCTCACACAGTGGCCAACCAGTTCCTCTGGAGGGCCAACAATGGCACAGAGGCCTTCCCCTGATGTTGCCTCCTGGCTCTGGGATTCAGAGGATTAGTGCTTCTGGATATGGAGGTTCCCCTTAGTCACCAGGGTTAGTAGCCACTATCTAATCCACTTTTAAAGCTGTTGATTCCTGTGGCCATCACTACATTCTCTGGCAGCGAATTCCACATTTCAATCACTCTCTGTGTAAAATAGTATTTCCTTTTGTCAACCTTGAACCTACTGCCCATTGGCTTTATCGGATGCCCTCAAGTTCTGGTATTTGGGGAGAGGGAGAAAAATTTGTTGTTATGAACTCTCTCCACCCCATGCACGTTACCCGGAAAGCAAAACAGTGTATTTTTTATCACACCACATTTCGGTGGTAAACACACAGCGCAGCTGAGGCTATTTTTTTCCCTTCTGCGTTAATAAATATTTGATGTTTAATCATAATGTGTCCACATTGGGGGCAATGTGCTGTGAAATATAGGCATCTCTTATGAAGGGAATGTGCTGCTGCTTTGGATGAGAAAAAACAGAAGGCTCTCCCCATCAATATTTGATAGCCCTTGCTAGAGACAGCCAATTCATTGCCCTTGCACCCGTGAAGCTATTAGCTGGTTACACTGTTGCGGTGGTGATTGGTTTACCACATACTCTTCATGGCATCAGTCTTGAGAGCTCTGCTGCCAAACTTATTCACCTAATTGATCATTATCGTATGGCAGTGGGTGTACCATAGCCAGGAGATCCGAGGGTTGTCTGGCAGCCTAAAACTCTACCTCTTTTTGTGGTGAGCTAGCGCCCCGGTCACACGAGAGGTTTTGGGCCAGGAGAGGGACGGATCAGGGGCACAGCAATTGGGCGCGATCCCACAGCAACATCTGGGAAGCATGGTGCGCCTGTTCCCGATCCGGCCCCAAACTGTGCATGCTCAGACATGCGCAGTTCGGCAGCCTCCCCCTCCCAACTGTCGCTTCCTCCCCGGCATCTGATCGTGCTGGGGAGCAACGGCGCCGCAGCTCAGGGGATCCGTGGGATCCCGCCGCAGCGTCCCTATTTTGGTGCGGCTTTTAAAAGCCGCACTTTGCCCATTTTTCCCCCTGCTGTGTGGCAGGGACCTAGGTTGATTTTTTGGGCCGAGGGAACTGTGACTAGCCCAAGGTCACCCAGCTGGCTTCAAGTGGAGAAGTGGGGAATCGAACCTGGTTCTCCAGATTAGACTCTGCCGCTCTCAAGCACTATGCCAAACTGGCTCTCTGCTTATTCACCCATTTGATAGGTTTTTTTTGTCTAGCTTTTTGAACACATGAAGCTGTTTTACACTGAATCAGATCCTTGGTCCTTTATCTGCTCAGGCTGGTAATGGCTCTCCAGGGCAGGGCTGCAAACTCTGGGTTGTAAAGTACCTGGAGATTGTGGGGGGCGGAGCTTGGGGAGGTCATGGCTTGGGGAGGGGAGGGACCTCAGGAAATACATCCTCCAAAGCAGCCATTTTCTCCAGGGGAACTGATCTCAGTCGTCTGGAGACCAGTTGTAATTCCAGGACATCTCCAGGCCCCACCTGGAGGTTGGCAAGCCTACTCCGGGGTGGGTCTCAGGCAGAGGTCCTTCACATCACCTACTGCCAGATTGCTTAATTGGGGATTAAACCTGGGACCTTCTGCATGTCGAGCAGATGCGCGACCACTGAGCTACAGCCCCTTCTTAAATCCCAGCATTGGTTTCTAATATCCCATCCCATATCCTGCCCAAGCTCTTTGTCTTTATTTACAAAGTCCTTCATGGCCTTCTCTCTCTCTCTCTCTCTCTCTCTCTCTCTCTCTCTCTCTCTCTCTCTCTCGTTCCATTTCTTGATGGATTCGGTCTTCCAGTTCAATGGCCTGAAGGTTTCTTGCTTCCTTCAGTGATTCTGCCTCTTCTCCCTTTCTGCTCCTCATGACTGGAAATTTCTCCCAGAAAACCTAGACGGTCACCTCACTCTTTTGCTTCAAACCCCTCTCCAAAAAAAAAAAAGCACTGAGCCGAAAACGACATTATCACAAAAATTATGACAAATGCCTCCCCGCGATTTTGCCAGTTTTCCAGGGTTGGCCCGTGAACAGAGGTCAAAGGGTGAAGGCGATGCTTCCAGTCCTCACTCTAAATTGACTTTGTGATTCCTGGTTGGCTACCCTGTGTACCAATTCCATGTGCGTTAGACAGTCTCTGTGTGAAAAATGTGCTTCCTCCTGCTCTAGCACTGGGGTCTGTGCAAGATCAATGGTTTTCAATCAGCCCTTGTTCCTATGGAAGTATTCGAGCAAGAGGAAGCGTGCTCTACCACAAAGGGTATTGTGAATGGAACTTGTTCACGGGATCCAAGCTACTGTGATCACTGATTGGCTAGGAATCCTTCACCAAGAGGAACATGACAGAGTTCATTGGGCAGCAAAAGCTGCTGGATGAACACTACAGAGGTGAGGGAACGGAGGACTCTTTGGGACCATTCAAGCTCCCTCAGAAGCACCCTTTCATGCTGAAAACATTCCCTCATTGGCCTTTGCACGGCCCTCTTCTAATCCCGCCTCTTTTGCAAAGCCTTTGGTTTAACCTGGGGTCCCCAGTGTGGTGCCCGTGTCCACCATGGCCCCTGCTGACACTTTCTCTGGTGCCCGTCAAGTGTTTTTAGGACATGGGTGGGGCCCCGTAGGGCTTTTGCTCAGCAAGGCTTCTGATTGGCTCTTGGAGATTTGATTGGCTGTGCAGATTTTTTAAAAAAAACAAAACAAAAACATTGCTTTGGCAGCAGCTGCTACCACAGCCCAAGGATCAGCAGGGTGTGACTGAAGTTAAGCCGTGGCAGCCATTTTGTTGCTCCGCTCACCATGCCATGCTAGAATTCCAAATGCAGGGTCTAAAAGTGGGGGACCCCAGGTTTAACCTATTAATTCTCATTCCCAATTAAACACACACACACATACACGTACCCAGGGCTCTTTTTGTAGAAAAAGCCCAGCAGGAACTCATTAGCATAATAGGCCACACCCAACACCAGAAACTCATTAGCCTATTGGGCCACACCCCTGCCAGCACAGCTCATTAGCACATTAGGCCGCACCCACATGTTCGCAGAAGTGTGGTTATCCAGCCACACCCACCTTTTGCTTGTTATTCTGTTTACCTTGTTTGTTGTCAAAACTCAGGGCCTTTTTTTGTAGCAGGAACTCCTTTGCATGTTAGGCCGCACACCTCTAATGAAGCCAATCCTAATGGGCTTCTGCTGTTGGGCATGGCCTATTATGCTAATGAGTTCCTGCTGGGCGTGGCCAACTTGGGAGCCAGCCGGAACTCCGTTCCTGTGCGTTCCTGCCCAAAAGTAGCCCTGCACGTACCTATTCTTCCCCGGTCTCTCTTGCCCACGTTGTCCTCTCTTCCATCTATTATCTGCCCTGCTGTTGAAATGTAGACTCACAAATCCAATCAGGCTGAATGGAGATGTAGTCACAATTAACTTACTTTGCATCATCAAAAGGGATCTGCCTTTTTAAAATCTGGTTTTGTAAAGTGCTCGGTACAATGCTGGGGCTTAGCGGATTGGCCCACCTGTTTATTATTCCCCATGGTAGAATCTTGCATTCCTCCAAGGAGTGCCAGGCTTCTTCTATGAGTCTCCCAAAATTTTGTCTAAAGAACAACCTAGTGTGGTAAGTCAGCCTGTCAGCCAGACAGTGACAGCCACAGGGTTATCCAGCAGTGTTCCCTCTAAGCTGAGTTTGTGTGAGCTAGCAAGCTAATTTGTGCAGTTGCCAAATGGCTCGCTCACAACTTTAATGCCAGAAGCTCACAAAGTGGAATTTTAGCTCACAAGACTCCACAGCTTAGAGGGTTAGGGTTAGAGGGAGGTCTTTCACATCACTGAATGCCAGATCCTTTCCACTGAAGACACTGGGGATTGGACCTTCTGCCTGCCAAGCAGGTGCTCTGCCACTGAGCCACAACCCTGTTCCTCCCTCCTGCTGGTGGCCCTAACCCTAGTATTAAAAAGGTAAAGGTTCCCTTGCTCGAAAGCCAGTCGAGTCCAACTCTAGGGTTGCGGTGCTCATCTCCGTTTCAAAGCCGAAGAGCCAGCGCTGTCCGAAGACGTTTCCGTGGTCATGTGACCGGCATGACTAAACGCCCAGGCGCACAGAACGCTGTTACCTTCCCACTGAAGTGGTACCTATTTATCTACTTGCAATTTCTTGCTTTCGAACTGCTAGGTTGGCAGGAGCTGGAACTAGAGACGGGAGCTCACTCCGTCATGCGGCAACCCGGGTCTCGAACTGCTGAACTACTGACCTTCCTCAGCCTGCAGTTCAGCGTCTTAACCACTTGAGCCACCGCAGCTCCTAGGGTGTATCTTGTAAACACCCTAGTATTAGAGATTCATAAAGGGGCACAATGGAACATCTGGTCCAACCCAAGTCAAATATCCCCTGTAGCAAAGTCCACTTGCAAAATGTGTTTCCTTCACCCGCTTCCATATTGTTCCCATGCAACCTCGGCAATATGGTCGGGAGTTTCTGGTCCAGTAGACACACGGCTCACTTGCAACCAGCCAGGGGAGAACTGGGGGTGGGTGGGGGTAGCCCAACTGTCTGCAGCACCACGTGGACTCAACTGCACCTCCAGGGGATGAAAAGGCCCCAAACCGTTCCACATCCAATACCTGGATCTTCTCTCAGCTCTTCCAAATGCAGCTCCTCGCCAAAAGAGGTGGCATTGGTTGTGGCTGATCTACGCTCCCGCTGCGTCTCTTCTGTGGTAAGTGCCTGGCATGAGGGGGATGAAGGGTCACTCAGCATTGCTCTGGTGGCACCGTCAGCAGTGCATGCTTTGACTTCAGAATCTAGGACACCACGACATTCTAGCATTAGTCAAACCGTCAACGAGTAACTGAAGCCCACCTCCCTTAGTTCCGCGCTGAGTCAGATACAGAAGAGGAAAAAGAGATTGGGTTTATACCCCGCCCTTCACTACCCGAAGGAGGCTTACAATCTCCTTCCCCTCCCCACAAAACACACCCTGTGAGGTAGGTGGGGCTGAGAGAGCTCGGAGAGAACTGCTCTTGAGAGAACAGCTCTGAAGGAACTTGAAACGGACCCAAGGTCACACCAGCAGCTGCACGTGGAGGAGTGGGGACGCAAACCTGGTTCTCCCAGATTAGAGTCCACACTCCTAACCACTACACCAAACTGGCTCTCATTCCAAACTGGCTACAGTACCCTCATCCTATATAATGTGCCTCGCCACAGCTGGGCTCTTCTGAATAACCGCACTGGAAGCAGTCCCGTGATCTGCAGTGGCACAACCGATTGACAAGGCAGTGCTAAATAATGATGGAGGGGGTCTGAGAGGGGACAAAGATCGGGGGAAGGCTTAGGGTTGCCAGTCTCTAGGTGGGGGCTCAGAGATCTCCCAGGCTTATAACTGATCTCCACACTACATCAACCACTTTATTTATTTATTTATCTATCTAAAACATTTATTCCAGTTCTCCTGGAGCAAATGGCAGCTTTGGAAGGTGGACTGGATGGCATCATGCCCTACTGAGGTCCCCCCCCCGCACTCTGCCCTAAACCCCACTCTCCCAGACTCCACCCTCAAATCTCCAGGTATTTCTGAACCTGGAGCTGGGGTCCCTAGGAAAGTGGACTGCATATAAATCTCCTAAGAGGGTTTTTGACATTATCCCATACTACTGAGATCAAGTAACGGCCCAGGATTATGCTATGCAAATAAAGAAGTTGGGACTACACTGGTGGAAGCAGATCAAGATGGGTAGCCGTGTTAGTCTGTCTGCAGCAATAGAAAAGAGCAAGAGTCCAGCAGCCCCTTAAAGACTAACAGAATTTGTGGCAGGGCGTGAGCTTTTGTGAGTCACTGCCAATGCTCCTTCTAAGCTGCGGAGTCTCGTGAGCAAAAATCCTACTCTGTGAGCTCCTGGCATTAAAGTTGTGAGTGAACGCTTTGGCTGCTGCATAAATTAGTTTGCTCTGGAGCAATCCTTCCTGAGCTGAGATGACAATGTGTGAGCCGGAGGCTCAAAAACTGTGAGCTAGCTCACACTAACTCAGCTTAGAGGGAACACTGGTCACTGCTCATCTGAAGAAGCGAGCAGTGACTCACAAAAGCCCATACCCTGCCACATATCTTGTTAGTCTTTAAGGTGCTACTGCTGGACTCTTGCTCTTTTCTACTGAGAGAAGCAGAGTTCCTTCTCAATGCTTGGGGTTACCAGGGGACAGGGGGAGGTTTAGCCTCCATTCCAAATGGTGCTTTCAAGTGCATCACTCCCCCCCCCCACCATAAAAAGTAAATAGTTGTTATTCGTTCCTAGGAGGAAAACCAAAGCATTGCACTTAGGGAAGTCATTGTGATGGAGGTGGGAGGGAAAGCAGCATGGTACAGCCCGATCTTGTCAGATCTTGGAAGCTAAGCAGGGTCAGTCCTTGGAAGACTCTGCAGAGGAAGGCAAACCAGTTTGGTGTAGTGGTTAGGAGTGCAGACTCTGATCTGGGAGAACTGGGTTCAATTCTCCACTCCTCCACATGCAGCTGCTGGTGTGACCTTGGGTCAGTCACAAGTTCTCTCAGAGCTGATCCCTCAAGGGCAGTTCTCAGAAGAGCTCTCTCAGCCCCACCTACCTCACAGGGCATCTGTTGTGGGGAAGGGAAGGGAAAGGAGATTGTAAGCCGCTCTGAGACTCCTTTGGGTAGTAGGGTATAAATCCAATCTCTCTCTCTCTGTGTCTGTCTCTCTCTGTCTCTGTCCCTCTCTCTCTCTCTCTCTCTCTCTTACACACACACACACACACACACACACACACACACACACTTTTCAGCTTCTCAGTGCATTGAAAGCTCCTTGCTTGAGTTGTCATAAGTTGGCTGTGACTTAATGGCACTTTACATCGTGGCGAAGGCAAAATCTGCCCCTGCCCCTGGCACCAGGTGGCTCAACCCTCACTGACAGGGAATTGTCTGGAGGAGGGGTACAATCATCCTTTGTGCATTGGACTCACAGAGTTGCAGTGTGTCTCACAGGGATCCTTGTAATGAACAAGCCTCTCTATACATGCTCCCAGATATCACAACATGTTGACGGGCATTGTGCTGGGTTTTTTTAAAAAATAATTGAGATAATTCCCTTATCTCAGGCATAAAAAGTGCCTGGCTGAATATCTTGCTTGCAAATTTTAATGAGGTGCCACGCAAGGGGCTGATTGCTTCCCCTTACTTTCTCACAGCAGGGAGAACGGAGATAGACGCATCAGGGGAAAGGAGTCCCCCTCTCTCCATTCCATCCTCTGATAAAGGATGATGGGATATTTTTCATTATAGAAAATTTACATCATCAGGCCGTGGAGGTGAATGAGATCTGCTTAGGTTCGGATGCTTTCCCTTTATAGCCTATGTCGAGCTTGCTACTGCTGTAATAAAACTGACCCACGTAATTAGGCTAACCTCCAAGGAAAAGCTGTTGCTTTTTAATGAGCTAACGTTATTCATATAATTACAGCATGTTGAATGTTATTCGGCATATTAATGCTCATACAATCACCGGTGTATTGATCTTTGTGAGTGACTAAGTGGTTTGCTAATAGCACGGTGTAATCAGCACCATGGACAGCTCCCCAATACTGCCAATGCAGGTTCTGCTCAAGATAGAACTTGGCGAGAGAAGCTCCATATACTCCACCATTTGTGTATGGTCGAACACCGTTATCACAGAACAGGTTTTCTTTCTCAGGATGCAATAACAGGCAGCAGTGATAGGCCATGCATTCTTATTTATAAAATCAATAGACACGATGACACATAAACGGTCCATTAACTCCTACATATCTTGTAAACACGTTTAGAAATACGAAGCCATAAAAAACTGTGAGGATTTGTAATATGTCAGTGGCCACTGTTGTGAAGTTCAAGCTACTGGAACTTTTCTTGTGTATCAATTTTTTTTTTTTTTTTGCAAACAGTGACATAAAAATGTGTTTGGAAAGAGAATGCACCCTGAAACCATGATCAAGAGCCTACAGGAATCTCATGTTCTACCTACAGATCTGTTCAATACTGAGATCCTGTGTATGATATACATATATGGATTTCTTACAAAAAGAGTCTTCAACATTGTGCTGGCCAGGAATTACAAATGAGGTTGTTGTGTTGACCCTAGCGACTGACTGCACACGGACCCAAAGAGTTCAGATAACACAACCTATTGCTCCATTGCAAACCATTTGGGGATGGCCAGCTCTCCATTATTATCCTCCTCTCCCAATGATCCTTGCTTTCTACACAGTGGGACAGGGGCCTGTCTCACCTCTGAAAAATGATAACAGTAAAGGTTTCCCTTGCTCGAAAGCCAGTCGAATCCAACTCTAGAGGGAGGTGCTCATCTCTGTTTCCAAACTGAAGAGCCAGCGCTGTCCGAAGACATTTCCATGGTCATATGATTGGCATGACTAAATCCCAAGGCACACAGAACACTGATACCTTCCCACCAAAGCAGTACCTATTTATCTAGTTGCAATTTCTTGCTTTCAAACTGCTAGGTTGGAAGGAGCTGGGACCAGAGACGGAAGCTCACTCCATCACATGGCACTAGGCTCTCGAACTGCTGAATTACAGACCTTCCAGTCTGCAGCTCAGCGTCTTAACCTCTGAGCCACCGCAGCCTCACCCCAAACATGATAGCCTAGTACTATCATCCAGGCCAAAGCAATTACCAGGAACATTGGTGAAACACCTGGCAGGATCTCTGGCTAGAGGACTCACATTCCTCCTTCTCAGACAACCTTTAATCAGGAGCTGGTGACAAAAACCACCTTCCCCTTGTCATCACTTCAGTGACAAGTTTCTGGAGAGGGGTGATTTAAAGGGACTTGAGCATCTGGATCTAACTTGCCAGCCTCCCGTCTTCTCTGCAAGGCCCTGCTGCAGAGACATGTTTCCTGATGCTTTGCAATTTTAAGGACATGGGGGAAACCGGGCCTGCCTGCTGCAGAGCTCCCGATGCAACACTTTTATAGGCTGAGCCCACCCACTCTGCCTCGTCATCACGTTGGGGGGGGGGGAAGTTACAGTTCTTAAAATAGCCTTTGCAGCAGCGCCGTTGCTATGATACGGTGGAAGGAGAGCGCGCCGCCTACGTTTCCACTCATTGTTGAAGCCAGCCCGTACATAATCAGGGGCATATTAATAGCCACCCGCATTCTTCAGTGGGCACATCTCTTTTTTTCATGCTGCGCCGTAAAAATCTGGTCACTTGGGCAAAGCCACGGCTTTTGTATATCAAGCTGCAAACAAAGGGCAGCTCCACCGAGGTTTCCAAACCACTCCACCGAGTGTTTCCAGGTAGCCCTCCTGGATAAGGGCTCCCCCGGTTTATATAGGCAGAAAATGGTCAAGTCACGTAGAATCGAGAGAGGTGTGAAGGGGTGGGAGAAGAGTGGTGTGGAGACGAAAATAAGGCATGGGGGGGAGGTGCCTTCTAGCAAGGAGAGATGAGTGGAGGTAACTTGGTCAAGAAGACAAAACAGGCTTCACAAAGCTGAGCAGAAGAGAAGAAGAGGAGGAGGAGGAGGAAATTGGATTTATACCCTGCCCTTCACTTGGAGTCTTAGAGCAGTTTACAAACTCCTTTCCCTTCCCCCTCCTCACAACAGACACCCTGTAAGGTAGGTGGGGCTGAGAGAGCTCTGACAGAAACTGCTCTTTTCAAGAACAGCTCTGACAGAACTATGGCTTGCCCAAGGTCATCCAGCAGCTATGAGTGGAGGAGTGGGGAATCAAACCTGGATTAGAGTCCACACTCCTAACCACTACACCAAACTGGCTCTCACAA